TATATATATATATATATATATACATATATATATATATATATATATATATATATATATATAATTTTCTAATTTAAATTTCAATAGAACATACAATTGTGAATTTTATCCTTAAAACTCCTCTCTCTTTGATATTTTATCGAAATATCCAACGCCAATAAGAAATGATAACAAAAGCATCATGAAAAAAAAGTAGTTATTTTATTTACTCATTAATCGTAATTTATTCATAATTATTTAATATTCATAATTATTTGATATTTATCACACATAGTTTAGCTAGTCGAGGTACAAAGGAAAAATTCACTGAGCTCACTAAGGACGTGACTGTTTGCACTTGGGTTGGCAAACGGTTCTCGCGTCCGAGAAGAAGTGCAGACTCAGCACGTTCACCGCGTTCAGAGTGTACACGTTCGGCCTTCTTAAACTGCAATTGGACACGAAAATCTCGGCCATCCTCGCGATACTATCGCACTTCATCACACAGGCTGCGCCATTGAGAGCCGCAGGTTCGCCACGGTCGCTTCTCGAGCTTGGATCGAACATGTAGAATTTGCCATAGTGCTGCATCACGGCCACCGCTATGTTGATCGTGTGTAGTATTCCAGCGCAGTTGGTGCGAAAGAACATGCTCAGTGCCTCGGACAGATCGCAGACGTGGAGTATGCCCGCCGCTGTATGATTGTGGACATGCACAGTGACACGAAAATCGCCCACGACGAACACGGTGAGTAACTCGCTGGGTGAGAGGTTCCTGGCATCTGGACGCGCTACCCGAACACTGTCAAAGTGCAGCAAATCGCCGTACTTGAGTACGGCGTCGATCAGCTCGGCCGTCCACGTGGATGGCACGTGTAGCAACCCCACAACCACTGCGACCGCCGCGATTGCTGTACTCTGCAGACCTCGGTTCTTCGCGCTGTAGACGTGATGATTCATATGCAAAGTACCGCGCAAAACGCTGAGTTCTTCGTCCACAATGACGTACTTGCTGAGCGGTTCCACGTTCAGTGTAGGTGTCTTCTTCACGGAGAGGATCGGCACGATGGGTGGCGCGATACGATCGGAACAAGGTCGGAAGCCGGCTGGGCACGGCAACGGTTCGATCATGGTGGTCTTTACGATCACCCGACAGATCTCAAAAGGTCCGTACTTCTCTTGCTGGCTGATGTTAGCGAAGATAACGTCGTATAAAGGTTCCATGCAGGCGAACCACATTACGCATGAGGAGCCGTCGGCGTCCGGCAGACCCTGATCGCTTCGTGCTCGTGGATCGTACATGAAGTAGACACCTAGATCTTTCCAAATGGCGGTCATTCCGCGATCGGTCACCAGAATGCCGGCATGGTTGTTCTGAAAGAATTTCCGCAGACCTTCCTCGAGTAAGATCATTGGGGGAGGTGGCTCTCGTTCTCGTTTCACTCCCTTCTTATCCTTGGCGTCCTTTTGTCCCTTCTTTTGTTCTATCTTCTTCTCTCTCACCTTCTTTTCCCCTAATTTCTTCTCCTCGAGAACTACAGGCGCGATCGCTACCTGACCGGTTACAGTGTTGGACTCGACGTCAGCGGTCAGAACGTTGACACCTTGTGGCGAATATTCGGTACACAAATTAATCCGTTTAGGTAAAAAATGATGTAATGGAAAAAAGAGAGACCTACCTATGTAGAATATTCTAATGATATCATTCGGCTTCAATCTCGATTTAGTAAGTTTGACCTTCTTCGTTTCCAGATGAACGCCACTTCCGATCGCTAGAATCTCATCCATAGTCTTCTTCGTCCACGTGACGGGGCTTTTGATGACCGACATGCCGAGCGCCACGACACAATTCGCTGCTGTTTGTCGATTGCGTAATGTTTCAGGGAAAATGTCTCTACCTTGATGATAAGTGCCACGCAGAATCGCCCGAGCTTCACCCTGCAATCTTCTGTAGGCATTCAAGGGTGGCAAGTTCGTCGGTCGAATACCCGGGCTGGGATCGAATTTCCACGGCGGCAACTTATTCCAATCCAACACGTCGATCGCGGTGATCTGATAATCGTCTTTCTCTCCAAAATGACGCAGCACGTATTCCACGAGGAGACTTGCATTCCTGAACCTGAATAGTTGCGGTGCCGTCGACGTAGTCTCTTCCACGGTGGTGGACCAATCAGGCACCAAGGCGTAATACGCGTCGTCGACCTTCCATATGGCTATATTTCGTTCTCCCCGTACAGTCAATGCACCAGCGTCGTACTTCTCAAAGAAGTTGTCGATTCCGCTTTGTAGATCTTGAACCTTGGGCGATCTGCTGGTAAGATTACCCGCTTGTACGCAATCTTTAATTGTCAAAGCAATACGCCGTGTTGACAAGAAGAACTCGCTGATGATCTCGTTCACTAGAGGCACTGAACCCACGCCCAGTCTCTCGACACACTTGGAGTGGAGCTTGTCGCCCGTGACTATGACCTCGTCGAGAATGCTCGACGTCCAGTATTTTGGCTGGTACACCTGAAATCATGTTCAACGTTGTCGTCACCGGTACGATTCAGTTTCATAAATATTTTGATGGACTTTAGTAGAAACGAATTCGCGAAAGGAAATGGCAAATAAGAACTTTACTGCAATTATAATTGCAATTATAATTGCAATTATAATTGCAGTAAAGTTCTTATTTGCCATTTCTTTTCGCGAATTCGTTTCCACTAAAGTCCATCAAAATATTTATGAAACTGAATCGTACCG